GCAGGAAAAGGCAAACAGGAAACGACGAGGAAGAGGACTGAGCGCAGTTACATGGGGAGGATTGCAGTTGAGGCCACGTGACAAAGGCTGTACAAACGATTGAGTGGAAACATCATTGCCTCTGTACACTTTCACCCAGCACACAATTAAAGGCAAAACACAAACACACCAGTAAAGGTGAACAAAAAGAAAACAAAGCATTGGCAACCCGAGGGCCAGCTTCCTTGGCTTTCCATCCGGCATTTTTGATAGCTCACCCACAACCTTTTGAAATCCAAAAGGAATGTTCTCTGCTTTGAGTGGCAGACCCTCACTAACATTAGTCAATTCTGACCCTAAGGGACAGGGTAGAATGGCCCCTGTGGGTTTCCGAGACTAATAATCCTTGGCGGGAATAGAAAGCCCCACTTTTCTCCAGAGGAGTGGTTAATGGCTTTGAACTGCCGACGTTGTGGTCAGTAGCCTGATGTGTAACCACTACACCACCGGGGCTCCTCCAGTGGCAGCCATAGGCACTTTAAAACCTGGGCTCCCATAGCCTTATCTGGGGTTCAGCATCGCACACAGGAGATGGGCATGGGGTCAGAACAAAGATGGGGCTTGTATGGAGAGGAAAGCCGCACCATGAGGCCCCCCAGATGCGATCCACAGATAGTTCCAAGTGATGGTAGGGTGCAGTTGGGTAGCTCAGAGGGCTTGCAAACAAGCCCCAGTCACCCAGCCTTCAGAGGTAAGGCAAAACCAATGTGACCACGTGAGAGAACTAGCGCGTACAGGCAGAAGCATGGGGCTGGGTTTTAGGATGACTGACCAGTTCCTTTGTGGTTCTGGTGGGGAGAGATGGATTTGCTCATCTGGGCTCACTGGTGGCTACTGAACCCCTAAAACTGACCAGGGGAGAGACAGGGCCAGAAAATGTGGGGCGTATCAGGGCCAAGCAGTGCTCCAGAGACCTGCCGCCTTAGTGCACCTGCTGCTAGAAACGAAGAAAAATCTCTGCGACAACCAAGTTGTTTGGCATAGTTGTCCTCCCTCCCCTGGGGCATGGACAAGTCTGCCAGCGCACACTGGGGCAGGGGAGGTGAGACAGAACAACTCGAGGAGGAGGAGGAGGAACAGGAGGAAGAGGAGGAGGTGATGGAGGAGGAGGAGGAGGAGGAACAGGAGGAAGAGGAGGAGGTGGAGGAGGAGGAGAAGGTGGAAGAGGAGG